TATATTTAAAAAATGTGGCTATGGATGAAATCATCCTTTGTTTCTCTTATAGGCTACAAATATTTTTCCAGCTACTCGTGTTCCTCTCATCTATGGTATTTTTCAGCCCCAGAGACTCGCATTTGCCGCGGAGCCTAACTCTTCAGTGTCCCCCGCGGTGTTTGCCTCGTGCTTAGAAAGGCTGTCCTCACGCCAAGGCTAATTTTATATTCTCACGTTTCCTTCTGGCGCTGGAGTCTCACTTGAATCCAGATTTCGCATCTTGCTGTGTTGCTTTGGTGACTGGCTGTGGTTCTGAGTGTCCCAGTTTTCCCGGCCCGCAGACGGGCCCGTGAGCGCTCCTGCCAGCGTGAAGGCAGCGCGAGGTGGCTCGTGCGCGGAGCTGACCACGTCTGGCACGGTCGCTGCACGACCAGTGTTAGCAAGGAGCTTGTTCATGTCCAGGCGTCAGTGACCACATGTTGGTCAGCTGGGGTGGCCGAGGGGCTTAAACAGCAGCTTTGTTTCCCACAGTCTGGGGGGTGGAAGTCAAGGTGCCGGCGCGTGTGGTTCTTGGTGGGGACGCGCCTCCTGGTTTCGTGGCCAGCTTCGTGCCTTGTCCTCAGGCAGTGGAGAGAGACCGTCTCTCTCATGTCTTTTCCTAAGCGCATTCCTGAGGGCTCCTCCCTCATCGCCCCGTCACTGCCCACGGGCCCCGCCTCCCAATGCCATCGCCGTGGGGATGAGGGCACCAGCGCGTGAATCTGTGGGGACAGACATTCAGTCCAGAGCAGACGATGCGCATGGCCGATGAGGGCTGTGTGCTTGTTTTCTTAAAGATAGACACCGCGATGATTTATTTAATACGCCACGCACCGTGAAACGGCTGCCACGAACGAGTTAACACGCGCGCACTCTCGCGGAGCTGCCGCTTTTGGAGGCCTGGTCTGAACTGGAAGCTCAGAGCAGCTTTCGTGTCCAAGGCGCTGTTCTCATGCATCCGGTGCGTTATTCGTCTTATATGTGAAAGTTCGTCCCCTTTGACCAACATCACTCCACCTCCCGCACGCCCCAGCCCCTGGTGACCAGGACCCGGGTGGCCACGGGCCAGGTGAGAAGTCACGTGGGCCCTGTTAAGGCCACTGTGCCGTGAGCAGTGAGGAAGTGCCACCGGGCTGTCACTTAGCGCTTCGCTCCTGTGTCACGCCGGTGCGGGCGCTCGGGGCTGTGGACTCGGAAGGAAGGGGTCCCCACGTCTCCGCTCGGACTGGCGGGGGGAAGGAAGGGGTCCCCGTGTTTCTGCTCGGCCTGGCAGGGGGAAGTGGCCCCGTGCGGCGCCTGCACTCGGCCCAGCACGTGGGGGTGAGCGGGGTTCGTTTCCAGAGGTGGTTTCTCACAGAAGCGCCTTTCTGCTCCTAATTATCCCTCTGGAGACTGCAAGGGTTCTCGAGGGGACTGGCTGCCCGCCTAGGAGCTAGGAAGTCACCACAGACCCCAAACACTCGCCTGGGGTTTACAGATCCAGCAGAAAACACGGCCTTCCAGAGAAGCCCAAGGGTAACCGCCAGAGGTGCCAGCTCCAGATGTCCCTGGGGGGCCCTGCTGGCCAGGCTCCTGCCTGCTGCCACACACTCAGGATGCCCCCCGCATGTGGACGGGGTGGCCGCAGGCACTGGCTCTTCCCCACCGGGTGGGGCAAAAATGCCATTTCCAAGCCGATAAGAGGAGTATTTAGGGATTTTTATTTGGTGGGGGCCACAGGAAGTCCGTGGTTTCTCTCTCGGGAAGAAGATAGAGTGCAGACTTTGGGGGCCTGAGGGAGGGGCACGCGTCCCATGGGCGTCCACCGATGTGCTTCTTCCTCGCCGTGCCCAGATGAGAGCCTCGCCTAGAAGTTTCCCCTTCGACACACAGCGACCGCAGCCCCACGAAGGGCCGTCATCTCCTCGGTGCTGACGACAGCGCTGTGACCAAGAGAGACACCAGCCCCATTCTCTTGGAGCTCACACTCTGTGGCTGGGGACAGGGATGGGACAGGGACGGGCGGCGACGGACAGGGACATAAGCTCACCCTGAACATACAACACACGAGACAGTGATGAGCACGATCACGGCCCTAACGACAGCACGTTTGTCATGCGCGTCCCAAGCTCCCCTGATCATGAGAATCATGGAAGGGAGTTTGTTAAAAATGGAGGTGCCTGGACTGTACCCCAACCCCATCGCATCCTAAGGTGCACCCCGGTTGACTCTCTTGGGCGACTGTTTTAAAGGCTGAGTGGCTAAAGGAGCATGTGGCCTGCACTAGTGCTTCCCACCCTGGTGGCCCAGTGGGGTCGTCCCGGGAGCTTTAAAAAGGCATGTGCCCGGAGCTCCTGAGTTTATGAGTCTGGCAGGGGGCCCAGGCATCGACGCATCCCCAGTGGCCCTCTGGGTGGCTCCAGGGTGCAGCATGGCTTGCCCACCTCCCCTTCCCAGCCACACGGCAGGTGACCACAGCCCTGTCCTCTCTCAACACCAGGGGCGCCTCAGGGGAGGACGGCGTGCAGATGGCAAAGCAGAAACGGCACGAGGCAGGTCCCCTCACGTGCCTTTTGAGCGTCTCACACTTAGGGGCTTGGAAGCAGAGCCGGGACACCCGTCAGTCTGCGAGCCCGTGGCCACGAAGTGACCTTAACAGCACAGCGACCCAGGACAGTCTGCTGAATCCTTTCTCCGCCCAAAGCCAGAGCACCAAGAAACGGCTGGGCTTCGTAAACGAACCCTGATCACCTCTGGGGGCTCAAGGTGCCCTCTCAGGAGGCACCTGCCTTTGACCCCGGATCTTTCATCAGTTTGCTGGGCACCTGTGATGTGCCAGGTATCGTGCGAGGAACGCAAAAATGAACAAGAAGCCAGCACAGGTGGATAGGGGCTCCCCTGCCCCCTGCCCCCTGAGGCTAGCGGGAGGGGCGCGGGATGCGGCCGACAGTAGGCAGCTTCGAGGTGGATGAGAACTGCAGAAAGGGTCGGTGGTTTTCTCCCCTGCTGCTCGGCCACCCAGAGACAGAGTCAGAAATGCCGGGCGGTTGGGAGGACGCATGATTCGAGACTGGCAGAGCGCGTGGTACGAGGAAGTTGATGATCAAGATCGCGGCCCTAACGATGG